ATATATATATTATCAGAAGGAAATCATATTTGCTAATGACAACTCCATCTTATACCGTCAAATAAAATAACATCTTATTTTGATGAAATAATATATCATCATCATATTTGACCAATTACAACTTATTCTATTCATATATATATTATTACGAGAAATTATACCATCTTATATTCATATTATAAGGTCAAATCCTTAGGACCTTTTGTTATCTAAGTAATTAAGATCTATACTAGAGGACCCCATTGGAAATAAGCTGCCACCCAGCTTTCATGGGATATCCTAGGTTAAAGCTTAGTCAAACAGATACATTGTAATTATAGTGCTCCAAAATTTGTGATATTAACTTTGATGTGATAATTAAAATAAGCTAAATACTGTGATAAATCTGTGATTATTATGCAATTGAAATCTGTGATCATATGTGATATTTGTACCTGTATCTTGCTTTTACCGAATAAATATTATTATTATTATTATCAAATATATAAAAATCTGTCCCTGTTGAGAGTCGGATCATTTTGCACAGGGCAAAAGAATTACCTGTACTTCCGGTGACGTCATGATTTAAAAATGGATGCCGCAGTGTTGTTTGTTTTGATTGTATTTACCTGGATTGGCTACCTCAAAGGTAATTTAACAAAATAGTTAATATAGTTCAGATTACAACTGTGTGAGATAAGTTTGCAATAGCAACAATATACGATGGGAGAGATTTACGGAAACCGTTACAAACAGGCAGCTAGGGGTTTTATACGTGGTTTTTTTCGCCAAAGTACAGGTAAAGTTAGGCTAAACCCTGGTGACCAAATGAGGTTCGGTTCTAATTATAAGACAGAACAAATATATGGTGGAGGTGTATAAAGGGAAGGAAAGTCCAAAGTTCATACTCTAAATGCATCTTTCGTATCTTTTCTGTCTTCGCGTTAAAATAGGAACCGACCCCCCTACCCCTTCCTCAAACCCAAATTAAGCAGTCTCCAAACTGAGTGAAAGCGAAATCAGCGGCATTTTGTAGTAGACCCTACGGCTGGAACTCTTTCTATATTCAGGTATTACTTCGTATTCTAAGGATTATGTATGGTACAGGTGAATATTAAAAACTACTAAAATATATGTACAGTGGGCTTTTTCTGTTTGTATATGTGTATATATAGTGTCTCAATCTAACAGTCATTCACTTTTTGTTTTGAAGTCATCCCAGCTTTAACTGTCATGTTATAAGCCTTATAACATGACCGTTAGAGTGACTTGAGCACATGTATTGACCTCATCAAAAAGTTACACCTAAAACCCCAATCATAAGTATTCAATGCTTTCATTTGGACCTTGAGAGTATCTTTTCGATTCTTTGTTCAAAATAAGGGTTCAACACTTGGGTGAAAGGACACGTCTATTTGATATGTGTTTTGACCCTCGAAAATTCGGGGAAAAAATACTGCTTAAATTGTTAGATATTTATTAATTGCAAGAGTAAACAGAAAGCCTAGTGCTATGCATGTCACACCGAAATATCACAGTATATTCATCACCATATTACACCTAAATATCACAGTTTATTATTTCTTTTTATATAATTCCCGACAAGCGATTGGCCAGAAGCGAATCATGTGTCCACCGATAAAAACCGATATTGACTTGGAGCGTGTGATTTTTGTTGAAGGACTGGGTGTTTCTAAAAATAGATTAATGACGTGTCTCCAAACGAACGTATCGTCCCGCTTCCGCAGCTTTTTGCTATGTTTTTTTCAGATTGCTAACATCACTGTTTTGAAAATAATAAAACAAATGTAGCCTTTAACTTTGGTCAATACCTGGATTTATCAACCCGATAAAAGATATATTGATCTCGGACTGCGTCCTCTGTTAATATGTCTTTTCTCGGGTTGATAAATTCAGGCATCGACCTCAGCCAAAGGCTATAATTGAATAATATTCATCACCATGTCACACCTAAATATCACAGTATATCCATCACCATGTCACGCCTAAATATCACAGTATATCCATCACCATGTCACACCTAAATATCACAGTATATCAATCACCATGCATGTCACACCTAAATATCACATTATATTCATGTATATCACAGTGTCTAATTTCAATTTGATCAATTTGGTTTTTAGATATGGATTGTAACTCCTATCCCTCTTGGCATTCCCAGTCAAATTTTAGTGACTGCCCTTGAACTTACATGGACACATACTGGAACATCTTAGTCAGGCCAAGTATCTGGGTGTAACACTATCATCTGACCTTAAATGGGATTCACATATAAATACTATCTGCCCAAAAGCAAATTCTACGCTAGGCTTTTTAAGACGAAATCTTAAAATTGGCTCAACATCAGCCAAAGTACAGGCATACAAATCATTAGTTTGACCATCACTTGAGTATGCCTGTACAGTATGGGACCCTCACACCCAAACAAATATTGACAAGTTGGAAATGGTCCAGCGAAGGGCAGCGCGCTATGTGCTCAATAAGCACAGGTACAACCATCGTACCTCCAGTGTGTCAGAAATGTTGGACCACCTAAAGCTGCGCCCTCTAGCAGATAGACGTAGAGATGCTCGTCTGACCATGCTTCATAACATTGTAAACCAGAAAGTCGCTATCGTAAAATCAGACAGATTAATCCCTACAGTTAGAAAATCCCGAACAAACCACCAGTTTTCGTATCAAATTCCCCACTCAAAAACCCAGACCAGAAAGGCATCATTCTTCCCTCGAACTATACCCGAGTGGAATAAACTCCCACCTGACATTATTTCGAGCCCCACAACGGAATTATTCAAATCAGCCCTCTACCGTCACCTATCAAACGCAAATTAGACCATCTCGTATCTTTTAAAAACAATCTCTTTCCATGTTTCACTCCTCGTCTGACATTTTATCTTCAAATTGTTGAAGTTGGTCAATACCATTTAGAAGAAGTAGAAGTACTATACCCAGTGTATCACCATGTCAAATTTCAATAAGATAAGTTTTTTTAATTCAAAGAATCTCTGGCGAAACAAAAGTGTGGATGCGTAGACAGACAGTGATTATTCATTGATGAGGTAGGGAGGGGGAGGGGGGGGAGGGAGAGAGAGTAGGGGTCGTCAAGAATACTTGTCATGTTACAAGAAAACCTACATTGTAGGAAATACAAATACTGTTATTAATTGTTTCTTTTCCTATTAGGAGAGCTAGTAGGAAATTTTATTGACAGATGTAATAGTCAAATGGATGGAATAACAGGCTATATACATTCTGTCCATGAGTGGCTCGCCAGCGAGGGCCTCTACAAATGTATAACGCAACAATTCAACATAAACACTACACATGTATAACGAAACAATTCAACATAAACACTACACATGTATAACGAAACAATTCAACATAAACACTACACATGTATAACGAAACAATTCAACATAAACACTACACATGTATAACGAAACAATTCAACATAAACACTACACATGTATAACACAACAATTCAACATAAACACTACACATGTATAACGAAACAATTCAACATAAACACTACACATGTATAACGAAACAATTCAACATAAACACTACACATGTATAACACAACAATTCAACATAAACACTACACAGGTATAACGCAACAATTCAACATAAACACTACACATGTATAACGAAACAATTCAACATAAACACTACACATGTATAACGCAACAATTTAACATAAACACTACACATGTATAACACAACAATTCAACATAAACACTACACAGGTATAACGCAACAATTCAACATAAACACTACACATGTATAACACAACAATTCAACGTAAACACTACACATGTATAACACAACAATTCAACATAAACACTACACATGTATAACACAACAATTCAACATAAACACTACACATGTATAACACAACAATTCAACATAAACACTACACATGTATAACACAACAATTCAACATAAACACTACACATGTATAACACAACAATTCAACATAAACACTACACATGTATAACACAACAATTCAACATAAACACTACACATGTATAACACAACAATTCAACATAAACACTACACATGTATAACACAACAATTCAACATAAACACTACACATGTATAACACAACAATTCAACATAAACACTACACATGTATAACACAACAATTCAACATAAACACTACACATGTATAACACAACAATTCAACATAAACACTACACATGTATAACACAACAATTCAACATAAACACTACACATGTATAACACAACAATTCAACATAAACACTACACATGTATAACACAACAATTCAACATAAACACTACACATGTATAACACAACAATTCAACATAAACACTACACATGTATAACACAACAATTCAACATAAACACTACACATGTATAACACAACAATTCAACATAAACACTACACATGTATAACACAACAATTCAACATAAACACTACACATGTATAACACAACAATTCAACATAAACACTACACATGTATAACACAACAATTCAACATAAACACTACACATGTATAACACAACAATTCAACATAAACACTACACATGTATAACACAACAATTCAACATAAACACTACACATGTATAACACAACAATTCAACATAAACACTACACATGTATAACACAACAATTCAACATAAACACTACACATGTATAACACAACAATTCAACATAAACACTACACATGTATAACACAACAATTCAACATAAACACTACACATGTATAACACAACAATTCAACATAAACACTACACATGTATAACACAACAATTCAACATAAACACTACACATGTATAACAACAATTCAACGTAAACAATGTAAATAACATTTATACTGTATATATTAATATAGCTCGAAATCGAACAGTTGACCTCTCGTACTCAGCGCACATATACACACGCTATATATAGCTTCAGTCTGATTGACTTCCACACCTAATGATACGATATAGGCTTTGTTTAAACGTTGTATCAAAATTTGATCAAATATATATACAATGAAGTTACAACAATAATGATTAATTAATTTAAGGATACTATGTAATGAAAAGTTACATATGTATAAAGAGTAATACTATAATTAAAAGATCAGGGGAGATAACACCGACATGATAAACACAAAGGGGATGAACTCATAGGACATCACAATAACAATACACAAACAACTCACAATCATACATTCAAACACATACAATTATTTTCTTACTAAATAAAGCAAAGTCACAGTCAGTATATCATATGTACAGTAAGAGTAGACTTTGACCAAAGTCCATGTGCATGTATGTGCACATGCAGGTCATTGCTACTAATTATTAATACTGTCTATGAGTAAATATTAAAATACACATTTGAATAATGTGACAGAAAGGCAATATATTATTATGTTTATTTTCTGTTTATTATATTGAACAGAAAATAAACAAGATATAACAAACCTACTCAACTGTAATCTCATTTATCATTATGCATCAAAAAATTTGTACTTTGTTATTTGATTCAGATTAAAATAAGACATATATATATTTGATTTACTATATCTCAGTATAATGCATCATGGCTTTCTATGCATATAAAAATTAAAATGCCTTGTTTTTCAAAGAAAAATCTGAATATGACTTAGCATCTGTCTGTTTATATTCAGATCACATGTAAGACAACCTTGAAAAATATCTTTAAATCCATATGGCTATGCTTACTAGTATCATTCAAAGAAGTAAACAAAGTATTTCGTTGTTCGATATACAGTCGACAATTGAAGAAATAATGAGAGGCTGTTTTGTATTCAAAAGAACAAGCACAAGTTGGACTATTTATTAAACGGTCATGATATAAATCAGAATTTAAATTACTACAGGAATTTCTTAATTGGCAAAGAATAATATTTACCCTTCAAATTCTTTCACCGTCGTTTTTAAAAGTTGTAGTTACTTCTTTGTCATTAACTATCTTTATTTTGTAATTGTTTAAACAGAACAAGAGATGGAGAGTTCAACATGTCAGTATCCATAGTGTTTACATGGCGGCACTTAAAGGGGAAAAAACTGTCAAAATAGTTATTAGTTCTACACATAGGTGGGTTAAAGAGTCTGGTAGGGATTGTTAGTATAATTGTTAATAAAAGGTTTTTTGACATCTTGTAAGTATTGAGGTGAGAGTCCATGCATTATCTTATACATCAGTATTTGTTTATGTTTATACCTTCTTGCAAACAGTGTTTCCCAACCAAGTTCATTATAGAGTTTATTGTGTAATGTCCCTGGACGATGACCAGTTATAATCCTAGCTGCTTCTAGTTGTACAGATTCAAGTAATTCAATAGATTGTAAGGTGCAATTATCCCATACTATGTCTGCATACTCCAAAATTGGTCTTATAAATGCAATATATATTTTAATTAATGATTTACGACCTACCTTAGATTTGATATAACGAAGAATATTTAGTATTCTTAGTATTTAGATCTAGAGCTAGTAGGAAATCAGACATCTGAAGATAGAATGTCATTAAATTAGTCCCCCACTCATACCAAGGGAGGTGGCCATGGGGAACTTTAGGTTTAATTTGTACTCTGTCCCTCTGTCAGTCTAGATCTGTACATCACTTTTTCTGGCACTTATATGGTACCCCGGTAATTGCTCAGTTAGCTATGGTACAATTGCCAGATTTTGCATATCTTTATATGGCAGTGTGCATGTGTCACATGATTGGTTGGGTCTTATGACTTTTGTCCCCTACTTAGCAATATATACAGTATTGTGATCATGACACTTTGTTCACTGTAAATTAAATGACTTTGTTCTGAGCGCAATCTCGATATATATGCTCTGTCAGCTATACAATTACCAAACTTTGTAAAAGAGTATTTTTTTTTGGGATGGGAAAGTATCAAACATTGAAATCAGATCTTATTCCTATTATACACAATGGTTCTCGACATATTTTTATTCAAATCTTTTTCCGGAGGTATAGGAGACTAAATATAGATTGCTCACAAATTCTTAACCAAATTTTGACTAAGAATGAACACTTTGTGTACAGTTTATGAATAAACTCTAATCCTTATAATTAAATATTTACACTTTCAGCTGACATCATAGTTCAGTCTACTTCCTACTGTTCAATCTGTACTTACAATGAAGAGTTCTGCAGAAATCCAGCCTACGTAAACACCAGATACCAATTCTACAACCGCGATTTTGAAGATGTCAACTCCAACGTAGGCACCAGCTACCAAGATGGCAGGAACTGTATTGTATCTATAGAAGCTCATCCAAACAACCAGATTGAAGTTCAAATTGATTACCTTGCAATAGACAGTTATGCTGAGATGGATGATAGGGGATATCCTAAATTCTGCTATGATTATCTAAAGCTTTATAATGGTAAGTATTTTGAGTATTGTTTTCTCCTTGTTTTGAGATTACTTTAATTCATTCAGATAAGGCTGTTAACAAGATAAATTATCTTCAAAATTCCAGTGCGCATGCTAATGTATATTTTTTACTTTATTTCATATTTTTAAAATTACATGAATATTGAAATCTTTTTTATCGTGATCTTTTGATCTCAATTAAACGCTAAATGTTTGTAAAGAATATTCTTGGAAATTATCAAATTACATTAAAGATGGTGTTTTTGTTAATTACATATAGAAATGAAACAGATGTCTGTTCCTAATTGTTTTTAAGGTCCAACACCTGACAATGCCAAGATGTTCCCCAATATTCCTCCCGCTGGTATATGTGGGAAGAAGAATTCACCTGCAGACATGGCAGATCTCCAGATATTCAAGACAACTCAAAACCATCTGACAGTCCAGTTTGTTACCGACGGTCGGAAAGAGAGCTTTGGCGGGTTCAAGTTGAGGATTTCCCAGTATCCATACTCGAATGCAGGGAACCTGTACCCCTCTGGGGGTAACTTAGGAGGTACAGCATAGCTATATATAGGAACCCACCTAAAGATCCTTTCATTAAAAGGAAGACTTTTTACATAAAGTCATTTGTAAGAAAGCAGAAATCATAAATCATCATGACTGACTTTTTCTATGGTATATTTTACCAGTGAACCTGTACCCCTCTGCGGCTAACCTAGGAGGTATAGTTAAGGCACTCACTTAGTTTGTTAGTTCCCCACTGGTTCTTAGGGGGAGGGGACTATAGGCTTGCACTCCGTTTGTCTGTCATTCCGTTGAAGAAGTTTGTCTGGCACATTTCTTCTATTCTATTTCACCTGATGGGCGTAACCAGATTCGGTGTACAAGGACATCTTGAGATGACAGAGTGCAAGAATTAGCTCACTGTGACCTATAATTTGACCTTTGACCTTAACTTTAAAAAAATAGTTTTTTCACCTGGCCTTATCTTGTATACATTTTAACCCGGGTAACCAGATAGGGCATACAATTAGGGACATCTTTGGATGGTGGAGTGCAGAGTGCAAGAATTAGGTCACTGTGATATATGCTTTGATTTTTGACCTCATTGTTTGATAAAGTTTGTCCGCCACATATCTTCTATTTTTCACCTGTAGTAACCAGATTTGGTGTACAAAGACATCGTAAGATGAAGTCGTGAGTGCAAAGTGCAAGAATTACGTAAATAAGTCCTCATTGTGATTTATGCTTTGACCATTGACCTAAACTTTTGAAAATGTTTGTCCGGGCAAATGTTCTATACTATTTCACCTGGAGTTACCAGATTTGGTGTACACAGACATCTTGGGATGATGGAATGTAGAATGCAAGAATTTGGTCATTGTGGCCTATGACTTGACCTTTGACTTTTACTTTTGAAAATGTCTATCCATGGCATATCTATACTTTTTCACCTGGAGTATCCAAATTTGGTGTACACAGACATCTTGAGATGGCGGAATGCAAGAAGGTGGTCACTATAACCCTATACTACTGTGAGCTACATGTATGCTTCCTGACATAAGTGTACTGTTTGTTAAATATAGAAATCATTACCGTTTGGGGACTAAGGATTGCCTTGCAATATACTTTGCATTGTTTAAATAATCCTGTCAGAGGAAGAATACTAGTTTTTTTAAAGGACTATCAGTTAAAGTTACTGTAGTACATAATTTACAGGTATTGTCAAGTGTTATATCTGCTGATCTTGCATATAATCAACAAGAGATATTATAATGTTCTGTTTCAGGTTGGAATGACGGTTCCTATAATGAGTTCCAGGTGTACTGGGATCAGAAAGACGTGATTCCTGGAGGAGTGTTCCCGGGGATAGGGGGCAATGACTACAGTGAGGAGGCGGGCGGTATAGAGTGTTATGACTGTAATTTCTGTCCACTAGAGCCTTTTGATCCTGTACAGTTATCAATCAGCACAAGATCAGGATGTCATGTCTGCTCGAAGGAATTTGACAATAGTAAGTCTGAATGATGTTTCTAATTGAGCACAAATGTAAATTACATTCTAATTGAGCACACATGTAAATTACATTCTAATTGAGCACTCCTGTAAATTACATTCTAATTGAGAACATGTAAATTACATTCTAATTGAGCACACATGTTAATTACATTCTAATTGAGCACACAGGTGTACATGTAAATTACATTCTTGACTGAGAATATTTTATTTGCCATACTCTTTAAATCTTCAACACTTATATCTTATTCTGTTTAATCAACACTAGCTAATAGAAAATGATGCTGATCAGCATCATTGTTTCAGTCTTCTCACTGCCTGCTTCAGTGTTCTCATGATCACCAGTCTGTTTCTGTATTTTCCTCAGGCTGTTTTAGGTTTTTCCTGATATATCAGTGTTTTCACCAGTCTGTACCTGTGTTTTCCCCAGTCTGTATCACTTTTTTCCCCAATCTATACCAGTGTTTTCCCCAGTCTGTATCAGTGTTTTCCCCAATCTATACCAGTGTTTTCACTAGTCTGTACCAGTGTTTTCCCCAGTCTGTACCAGTGTTTCCCCCAGTCTGTACCAGTGTTTTCACTAGTCTGTACCAGTGTTTTCCCTAGTCTGTACCAGTGTTTTCCCCCAGTCTGTACCAGTGTTTTCACTAGTCTGTATCAGTGTTTTCCCTAGTCTGTACCAGTGTTTTCCCCAGTCTGTACCAGTGTTTACCCCAGTCTGTACCAGTGTTTTCTCCAATCTGTACCAGTGTTTTCCCCAATCTGTACCAGTTTTTACCCTAGTCTGTACCAGTGTTTACCCAAGTCTGTATCAGTGTTTTCCCCAGTCTGTACCAGTGTTTCCCCCAATCTGTACCAGTGTTTACCCCAGTCTGTACCAGTGTTTTCTCCAATCTGTACCAGTGTTTTCCCCAGTCTGTACCAGTGTTTTCCCCAGTCTGTCCCCGTGTTTTCACTAGTCTGTACCAGTGTTTTCCCCAATCTGTACCATTGTTTTCCCCAGTTTGTACCAGTGTTTACCCCAGTCTGTATCAGTTTTTACCCCAGTCTTTACCAGTGTTTTCCCTAGTCTGTACCAGTGATTTCCCCAATCTGTACCAGTTTTTACCCTAGTCTGTACAAGTGTTTACCCCAGTCTGTAGCAGTGTTTTCCCCAGTCTGTACCAGTGTTTACCCCAGTCTGTATCAGTTTTTACCCCAGTCTTTACCAGTGTTTTCCCTAGTCTGTACCAGTGTTTTCCCCAATCTGTACCAGTTTTTACCCTAGTCTGTACCAGTGTTTACCCAAGTCTGTATCAGTGTTTTCCCCAGTCTGTACCAGTGTTTACCCCAATCTGTACCAGTGATTACCCCAGTCTGTACCAGTGTTTTCTCCAATCTGTACCAGTGTTTTCATCAGTCTGTACCAGTGTTTTCACTAGTCTGTATCAGTGTTTTCACCAGTCTGTACCAGTGTTTTCCCAAATCTGTACCAGTGATTACCCCAGTCTGTATCAGTGTTTTCACTAGTCTGTACCAGTGTTTTCCCCAATCTGTACCAGTGATTACCCCAATCTGTACCAGTGTTTACCCAAGTCTGTACCAGTGTTTTCTCCAATCTGTACCAGTGTTTTCCCCAATCTGTACCAGTGTTTTCATCAGTCTGTACCAGTGTTTTCCCAATTCTGTACCAGTGATTACCCCAGTCTGTACCAGGGTTTTCTCCAATCTGTACCAGTGTTTTCTTCAGTCTGTACCAGTGTTTTCACAAGTCTGTATCAGCGTTTTCACCAGTCTGTACCAGTGTTTTCACAAGTCTGTATCAGCGTTTTCACCAGTCTGTACCAGTGTTTTCCCTAGTCTGTACCAGTGTTTTCCCCAATCTGTACCAGTGTTTTCATCAGTGTGTACCAGTGTTTACCCCAGTCTGTACCAGTTTTTTCCCCAGTCTGTACCAGTGTTTGCCCCAGTCTGTATCAGTGTTTACCCCAGTCTGTAACAGTGTTTTCACTAGTCTGTACCAGTGTGTTCCCCAATCTGTACCAGTGATTTCCCCAATCTGTACCAGTGTTTTCACCAGTGTGTACCAGTGTTTTCATCAGTCTGTACCAGTGTTTACCCCAATCTGTACCAGTGTTTAAGTCTGTACCAGTGTTTACCCCAGTCTATACCAGTGTTTTCCCCAGTCTGTACCAGTTTTTACCCCACTCTGTATCAGTGTTTACCCCAGTCTGTACCAGTCTTTACCCTTCACCAGTCTGTACCAGTGTTTACCCCAATCTGTACCAGTGATTACCCCAACCTGTACCAGTGTTTACCCAAGTCTGTGCCAGTGTTTTCTCCAATCTGTACCAGTGTTTTCATCAGTCTGTACCAGTGTTTTCACAAGTCTGTATCAGTGTTTTCACCAGTCTGTACCAGTGTTTTCCCAAATCTGTACCAGTGTTTTCCCCAGTCTGTACCAGTGTTTTCATCAGTCTGTACCAGTGTTTTCACAAGTCTGTATCAGTGTTTTCACCAGTCTGTACCAGTGTTTTCCCAAATTTGTACCAGTGTTTTCCCCAGTCTGTACCAGTGTTTACCCCAGTCTGTATCAGTGTTTTCCCCAGTCTGTACCAGTGTTTACCCCAGTCTGTATCAGTGTTTTCCCCAGTCTGTACCAGTGTTTTCATCAGTCTGTACCAGTGTTTACCCCATTCTGTACCAGTGTTTTCCCCAGTCTGTACCAGTGTTTTCCCCAATCTGTACCAGTGTTTACCCCAGTCTGTATCAGTGTTTACCCCGGTCTGTACCAGTGTTTTCACTAGTCTGTACCAGTGTTTTCCCCTGTCTGTACAAGTGTTTTCACTAGTCTGTATCAGTGTTTTCACTAGTCTGTACCAGTGTTTTCCCCAGTCTGTAGCAGTGTTTCCCCAGTTTGTACCAGTATTTACCCCAGTCTGTATCAGTGTTTTCAGTAGTCTGTATCAGTGTTTTCCCCAATCTGTACCAGTGTTTTCCCCAGTCTGTACCAGTGTTTACCCCAGTCTGTACCAGTGTTTTCACTAGTCTGTATCAGTGTTTTCACTAGTCTGTACCAGTGTTTTCCCCAATCTGTACCAGTCTTTTCACTAGTATGTACCAGTGTTTTCATCAGTCAGTACCAGTGTTTACCCCAGTCTGTACCAGTGTTTTCAGTTTTCCCCAATCTGTACCAGTCTTTTCACTACTATGTACCAGTGTTTTCACTAGTCTGTACCAGTGTTTTCATCAGTCAGTATCAGTGTTTTCCACAATC